AAGGGATAATGACTTGGGAGGGTAATAAGGTTTCCAATTTGTCCGTATTAGGTCACTAAGGTTTTTTTTGTGCGTATTAGACCAATATGGTTGTTATTACCGTTTAGAAATAGTCCTTTTACCGGTTTTAATGGGTAAAAAGGACTATTTTTAGACGGTAATAGCAACCATATTGGTCTAATACGCACAAAAAAACCTTAGTGACCTAATACGGACAAACTGGAAACCTTATTACCCTCCTAAGTCATTAACCCTAATTATTTAGAAAACATGCTTACTAATCAATGTGACTGATTTGTTTGACTAAAAATAGTTGCTTCCATTTAAACTTATCTCACAACCCTTCTGTAACGCCCGTGTTTCTAGGCTTGCCATTTTTTAGCAATGTAATAGTCTAGGTTAACCTTGTAACTCAACTTGAAATAATAAGAATGTATTATTTGTGAATTATTTGAATTATGTGATTTATGTGTGTATTTTCTTAATTTTATAATTTAATAAATTAAGAATAAAATAAGCGTCAAAATTTAAGTGTGAGATAAGCCCGACATCTTTGGATAAAGTTGTAGTGGTCGAAACAAGGATTCCGGAGATATAAGGAATGCCAAAATCCGAGTTATAACGAAGAAGTTATGACCTGTCGAAGTTTCGCGACAGAACCGACACGACGCTGAATGATGTAAAATATGAATTTAAGATAGAGCGATATTTAGCCTTAGCGATCTAAACGAAAGTCGTAGATTTCGTTAAACCGAGAGCGTGCATAAAAGGAACGCCCAAATCTGACTTCGTATGAGGAAGTTATGATTTTTCTAAGTTTCGACTTAGCAGTATACAGCCCGAATACTCGATTTGAGATCGAGCGGTTTTTAGCCGAAACAATCTAAATGAGAATCGAAGATCCTGCTGTTAGTAGTGAAACAATGAAAAGTTAGGCGAGAACGGACGTCAGACGAAGAAGTTATGAATTTATAACGAAGTTTTTCTGTCCCGGCCTTCTAAAAATAAATAATAAAAATAAAAGTCAAAATTAGCCGACGGAGTCTAAATGAAAGTTGTAGAGTATGGTCTGACCTTCGCGTGGATATAAAGAACGTCGAAAACGGAGCTCGTATGCGAAAGTTACGCAATTTAGAAGTTTGACAAGTCAATTACGCCCCGCGTAATTTGAGTACGCCCCGCGTACTCAGTCGGATGCAACTTGTCTGACCAATACTCGAGTGCCACCAGTCGACGCACGCAGTGACGTCAAAGTACGCCCCGCGTAACCCGAGTACGCCCCGCGTAATTTGAGTACGCCCCGCGTAATCCCAGACCCAGCAGCCTATAAATAGAACTCGAATTCAGCCATTTTCTCTTGTTCAAACTCTTCCCTCTCTCTAAGTTTTGCCTCGTTTTGCGTGTCGTTTATACCCCAAAGCCCCGGTAATATTCCCGAGCCCCGAAGTAAGATCCGAAGCCCCGAGGATCCCGAAGAGCGTTATTCCCGAGCCGAAACGCTGCCCGCGAGGAGCCCGGTTTTGTGAAGATCTTCCAGATCTACGGAGAAACACCTCTTCTGCAAGCCGTAGTGCTGCCCGATCATCTTTTGATCAAGTGAGTGTGTAGTTATTTTCATTCCAACGCAATATTATGAAGTATTTCCTATAAAATACGTGTTATGTGTATATATTGGTTGTTATACGTGTGAGTGTATATTCACTCTCTTCTATCTTATAGATCTGATGTATTCTCTATGAAATACGTGTTATGTGTGTATGCCTCATCTGTTATGTGGAATATGTATTGATTAAAACATGTTATACAGGTTTTTAAACTATGTATAAAAATGTATATTTTTATCTACTAATATGTTGGGTAGAACATGGGTAGATAATTGGTGTGTAATAAACAGATGAGAGGCCTCGGTGTTATTGGTGTTATTCTAGTCATTCAGCAGAGTATGGATGACGACCACGACTATTCTAGACTGTCCTGTGGAACACTAGCAGGCTCATTACCTGTAGGTGTTGTGAACGACGTGTTCACCGGTGTACTCTATCCCCCACATGGTTGCCTTTAGGACACTTAATGTTGAGGAAGCCCCTCTGCAGTAATGTCCATCCCGATGAAAAATCCTGAAATAGGTTCCTTATAATAGACGTTATTTTTAGGAACGTAAGATGAGGATAACGGGAATGGGTAATCGGGTTTATTGTTGATTGTTGAAATTAAATATAATTATTGTGGGTTGAAAACCCTATATGCTCACCAGGCTCCCAAGCCTGACCCACTCAGTTGATTTATTTTACAGGAAGTGGCGCAAGAGCTTAAGATGGGCGAACATCAAGTTGTTTTTGTTTACAAGTCTGTATATGTATATATATGTATCGAAACATGACATCCCGACTTTTGATTTTGAAATGAAATCATATTTCTTTATGAAATGTTTTGATAAATATCTATTTTATCATGTTTTGTTTTTGGGAACAAATTCCGCATCTCTTTTAAAATTAAAAGGATTTACTCTGAAAATTATTTTAAAAAGCATAAATGAAATCGGACTTTTCTGGCCGAGATTTTGGGGATGTCACACCTTCCAGAACTTCTAAGTCCAAAAACTTATATGATTGATGATCTTCATTACATAAATATGCAACATTTTCTCAATAACTTCTTTTTTGTCATTTAAATGTTTACATGAAGACATCCATATGTATAAAAACAAAATATCACTTTGATACCTCCCATCAATGTCTACATTTGATAACGAATGGAAATGTAAAACCAACAGTAACTTGCAGATGATGCCTATTATTAATTATTTTATAAAAAGCAAAACCACAACATGAACTAAGAAATTGAAGTTGCAAAATTAATCAAAATCAGCACATAAACAAACACATACAGACTGTATACAACACATAAATGGAAGTTTATAAAGCATGAAACTTAATGACAGGAAAAGTAAAAAACTTAAAGGAGACTTTATAGAAAGAAAGATCACTCTTACTTGCCACAAATGGTTGAATACATCAACAAGAAGATCAATCTGACCATAGAATCCACATGTTGTCTGATTATGACTTCAGTAGATAAACTACTGAAACGTAAGAATTGCAATTGAACTCTATTAGCATTTGAAAAGGGAATTAGGGTTAAATTTTTTTTTGGACCATTTCTTGATTTGTGTGTGTCATCCTTGCGCAGGGGCCATGCTAATCTTCTCTGTATCGTTCTAATTTTATCGGATGTCCCCAAAGGGACGACTATAGATGAAGAGCTTCGTCATATAGAGGAGTAGCAGGTTATATGGGATGACGCGAGTTCTAAACGAAGTAGTTTACTGTTGATGGTCATATATTCACAATGTCTTTAAAATTAGGGTTAATGACTTAGGAAGGTAATAAGGTTTCCAGTTTGTCCGTATTAGGTCACTAAGGTTTTTTTGTGCGTATTAGACAAATATGGTTGTTATTACCGTTTAGAAATAGTCATTTTTACCCATTAAAACCGGTAAAATGACTATTTCTAAACGGTAATAACAACCATATTGGTCTAATACGCACAAAAAAAACCTTAGTGACCTAATACGGACAAGCTGGAAACCTTATTACCTATCCCTACAAAAAAAGAGCCCCTAAAGTTTTTGGGCCCTGTTCAAATGCCTGCTTGCCTGCCCTAGACGGCCATGTGGAATACAATGTTGATATTCAATTAATATGAATTCTTCAATGGAAAAAAAACTTAACTACTAAATATATATTCTATTGAACTCTATTAGTTCAATACATTATAAGAAAACTTAATTTATAATTATATATTAAGTAAAATGGTAATGTATCAATAAGATAATAATAAAATAATAATAGAAACATAAACTAATTATTATGTACAAATTATTTTCTAACAATTTTTTGGCATGGTTTTAACGAAAGAAAGAAGTTGATGTTTAGAGTTTAAAACTCAAGCTTTAATTATGGATAACGAGCTTTCTTACCGACAATCACGTGAAGGCTCATAATGACTAAAAAACAACCATATATTTTAAGACTTTGTCTATATAAATCAACGTCTTTCGTGTTTTTTTTATTTGTTGTATCGCATATGTGAAATACTAAAAGTTAATTTTAGCCGATAATAATTAAAATAATATAATTCAATGTATGTTTCTACTTTCTAGAAGCCTTTCTAGTTTCTATGTTAGGTTAGATTCTTGGGTACCCACGTGTCCATATGCTACGCCATTTTATTCGTTTCACCACGCAAGCAGTCGGCCCTTGAAAATTATATTTATGTTCTATTATCAGTATTTTATTATTTCTATATGTTAGATTTTTTTATAAATAGTATAATAAAAGTATGGTCCCTGGACTTCATGTTTAGTCGATGAAAGATTCGTTTTACGGTTGGTTCATTAAAAAAAAAAATTATAATTTCATCTCATTTGGGTACTTATGTTATTGATATGATTGCAAAAGTGTAAACGTATGATGATGTAACATTATTTATTTATTTATAATAAGGAGAGAGAATTGAAAAACAATGGCAACGTATTATATATAATTTTTAGAGTAAATTATACGAATGGTCCTTATGGTTTAGGGTAATTTACGTGTTTGGTCCATAACTTATTTTTTTTAACTAAGAAGGTTTCTACTGTTTGTTTTTATTACGCTCTTGGTCCCTGTCTTACCTAAAAAACTTATTTTGCCCTTGATTTTTAAATTTATTTAAATAAATACACCACCAACTTTATCTCCTTCACTTCATCTTACCTACCCCATCATTTTTTCCTATTTAAATAATAATATTTTTAGGTAAGATAGGGATCAAACGCTTAATAAAAACGAACAATAGGGACTAATGACATAACAAAAACAAACAGTAGGGATTTTCCGAATTAAAAAAATAAGTTAGAAATCAAATACGTAAATTACCCTAAACCACAGGGACCATTGGTGTAATTTACTCACAACTCAAACACTACACGGACTTTGATTGATAATTTTTCGTCGACAAATACAGTCCTTCCAGTCATATCACAACACTCAAAAGTCAAAATCATCCCCAATTTCTCTTTAACTTACCTGTTATACAACTTGAATCTATAAACAGAGTGTGCATCTATCTTCATAGTTAGGGAAAAGAAAACCACCCTACATCCTCTAGTGATGGAGCTAAATTTTAGTATGATCAACACAGTGCTATGTGTTGTTGGACTGATAGTGATGATATACGGATGGAGATTTTTCAACTGGATCTGGTTGAAGCCGAAGAAGATGGACAAGTTCCTTAGAAAACAAGGTCTGAACGGAAATCCCTACAAATTTCTATACGGAGACATAAAAGAGATGGTGCAGATGACCGCTGTTGCCAAATCGAAACCCATAAATCTCAACGACAACATCGTCCCACGTGTCATGCCATTTCTGTACTACTCCGCGAAGACATATGGTAAGAAAGTTATTGGATATTATGATCAAAGTATTCTTGATTGTTGAATGAAAGAGTGAAAATTTATACTTGTATGATATATAGGTGAAGGAAAGAATTTCTTTACATGGATGGGTCCACGACCTTTGGTCCACGTCACAGAACCTGCACTAATACGAGAGATTTTAGCCAATTATTCTCAGTTTCAAAAGCAAAGAGGAGGAAATCCATTAACAAAGATGCTAGCAAGAGGGCTGGCAGATGTTGAGACTGATCAATGGGCAAAACATAGAAAAATAATCAATCCTGCTTTCCATGTCGAAAAGCTCAAGGTTCATTCATGTTTCTTTCTAAGTTACCAAAAATACCAACAAACCCTATGTTGGAAATCACTGATTCCATTAATGTTTCATATTTGTAGCATATGTTACCTGCTTTTTACGTTAGCTGTAGTGAGATGATCAACAAATGGGAAGAATTAACAAAAGAAAGATCGAGTGAAGTTGATGTTTACCCTCATCTCCAAACATTTACTAGTGATGTAATTTCACGTACAGCATTTGGTAGCAGCTATCAGGAAGGAAGAAAAATATTTGAACTTCAAAAAGAACAAGCAGTGTTAGTCATTAAGGCTGCACAGTCGATGTATATTCCAGGATCTCGGTGAGCATGCTTTCCATTTATAATACGTTTGAGTTTTTGTCAAATACTGTTTGATTCTACGATTAATTATCATTTCTTAGATTTTTGCCTACAAAGAGCAATACAAGGATGAAAAAGATTGACAGAGAAATAAAGGGATCGATAAAGAAAATTATTAATAAACGAGTAACAGCAATGAAAGCTGGGGAAAGTAGTAGCGATGATTTATTGGGCATATTATTGGATTCGAACTACAAAGAGATCAAACAACAAGGGGATAAAAATTTTGGGCTGAGTATTGATGACGTCATCGAAGAGTGCAAACTCTTTTATTTTGCAGGGCAAGAAACTACTGCAAACTTGCTTGTTTGGACAATGATTTTGTTAGGCCAACATACAGATTGGCAAGATCGAGCTAGAGATGAAGTTTTAAAGGTGTTCGGAGAAAGAAAACCTGATATTGACGGATTAAGTCACTTAAAAGTTGTAAGTAATTTCTCTAGTGCCTGGATTTTATAAAACTGTATATCAACTAATTAAAATCATAATGTATTAAGTACTACTCCATTTTTTATACCATGGGGTAAAAAAATGTGTAGGCCAATCACAATATATCTTTATAGAGCAAGAATCAAGAAGGTAATGCCCATTTGTGAACTCAGACCTCACTTATGAGTTCTTGAGGTTTAATCAAAACCAATTCACAATAAATGAAGATAAACATGATCATATTTTTTATTATTGCTGTTGACAAGATTCATATATTTTTTTTAATTGTATTATAATAATTTTTTTTGCAGATTAATATGATATTGCACGAGGTACTTAGGTTATACCCGGCGGGTATAGTATTGGGGCGGATGATTCACGAAGACACTACATTAGGAAACATAACCTTACCTGCTGGTTCGCTCCTCTACTTGCACATGATGCTTTTACATCATGATAGTGATATATGGGGTGATGATGTGCACGAGTTCAAGCCTGAGAGATTTGCAGAAGGTGTGTCAAAGGCAACAAAGGGACAAGCTTCATACTTCCCTTTTGGAGGGGGTCCACGTATATGTATCGGCCAAAACTTTGCTATGTTGGAAGCAAAATTGGCACTTGTTATGATTCTAAGAGGTTTTTCGTTTGAGCTTTCCCCATCATATGTGCATGCTCCACATACTATCATCACTTTGCAACCTCAGTTTGGTGCTCAATTGACTTTGCACAAACTTTAGTGGTTATTGTAGAAAAAACGAGATACATAGCCACTCTTGGTTTATATCAATTCTAATAAACAAATGTTTTTTTTTTTTTTTTTTTTTTTTTTTTTTTTTTTTTTACCACTTGTTATACTTTCATTCAGTTTGTCAAATGTTATTTTTAGGTATTTTGAATTATTTTTTTTTCTACCTGTTATTTTATAAGTTTTATTTATCTTAATAAATTAAACATAATATTTTAGAGTAAATTACACGAAAGGTCCCTATGGTTTAGGGTAATTTGCACGTTTGGTCCCTAATTTATTTTTTTTTAACTCGGAAGGTCCCTACAGTTTGTTTTTGTTACACATTTTGTCTCTGTCTTACCTAAAAAGATTATTTTGCTATTGATTTTTTAATTTATTTAAATAAACACACCCCCAACTCCATTCCCTTCACCTTACCTTACCTATCCTACCATTTTCTCTATTTAAATAATAGTATTTCTAGGTAAGATAGATACAAAGTGCGTAACAAAAACAAATAGTAGGGACCAAACGCGTAACAAAAACAAACAGTAAGGACTTTCCGAGTTAAAAAAATTAGTTAGGAACCAAACGCGTAAATTACCCCAAACCATAGGGACTGTTCATGTAATTTACTCAATATTTTAATGTAATAATTGCAATAAATGGATACCAATTTCAGTAATGAACCTTAAATTTTAATTTCAAAATTTACAAAATTAAAGTTTATTAGTTTCTTTTGTTTATTTATTTAAATTATTTGTTTAAATTTAAAAGATAAAAACATTTTCATTATAATGATTCATTATTTTTCTTGTTATCTTATAAATTCAAAGTTTTCAAATATTTAGACTTTTATATTTAACTTTTTTTTAAAAAACATTAATCAATGTAATATACGAGTCTTACAACTAGTGTCTAATATATTTAATGCACAATAGATGCATTATTCATGGGAGCATCGAGACACAGGTGAATTGGTTATCAAAAATTTCTATAAATGTCATCTAGATTTTGTCCGTGGAAAATATCGATGCATTCAATAATATATAGCACGATCAAAATCATAAAAATAAAGAGTTGAGGGTAGAAACATCGTATTATGACATGAAATTACTGATAAATCTTGTTTATAGGTTCATAATATCGATAATAAACTTAAATATAAATTACACTTAAAGCATAATAAGTGTAGCTTAACTTAAAGAGTTTCTAGTGAAAAAAGAGAACTCTTAGGTAGAATCTCGACCCAAAATCTACTTTTCGTCGAGCTCCTAAATACCTCAGAGCCTTGCTCAAGTGGTCAGAAGCTCGGAAAAAGTCGGACTCAAAGGGAGGATAATGTTTGAGAAAGAGAGAAGGATTGAAAGATCTGAAAAATAATGAAATTTTGCCATCTATATATAGGATATTATAAGGTACGCTCCACACACTATCCATAGGCATGTCACGTCTTCGGCTGATGCATTTGGATTGGGTTGGTGCCACATGTCATATTGGGCCAACTCGCCTTGTCTCGCTGCCTCTGTCCTTGCCACATGTCGATATTCCATGTCACCACAAGTCGTAACCTCATGGTGCCATGCCATCATGTCAGTGGAAGGGTCCCACTTTCTTTTTGCCACATGGAGCACTCCCATGCCGCCATGTCACCCCCAACAATTATTTTTCGTGAATCTTCGAATAGTTATAACTTTCACATATAAGCTCCATTTCCAGTGCTCTTTATATTCACACATTCGTATTGACGGGTACTACATTCCTTTAGGTCTCAACATCTAATTGCCACTCCGTTTTAAATTCATATTTGGATTGGTTTAGGCTGTTAGAATTCTTGCGAAATTCAAAACTTGTTCATACGAACTCTGTTCTCGGCATTCTTAATATCAATGAGTTCGTATTTAGGATATCTTTAACTCTTGTTTACATTGCATTGGCTAAAATGCAATTGATCTCGAATTCACTTTTTATTACACACATGGTTGTGTCGGGCCGAGAGAAAAATCATAACTTTCTTATATTAAATCATATGTCGGTGTTTTTTATACACATGAAATCTTCATCACGACTACTACAACTTATGAAAATGTATAAGACTTTTAGTCTGTAAGAATATGTATGAATTTGTATTTAAGTTCGAATGTATAAGAATATATTAAAATGTTTGTTATTTGAACATTTTATTCATGAATTTTGTTTTTCTTCAGTAATATTCTGTTACAATAAAATTCTGAAAGAGTATCATTATAACAAAAAAAATATTCTGATAGAATAAAATCGATAAAATTTGAAATTGAATTAATTAAAAAATTCAGATTTTTTTAAATTAGGAAAATAATCATCCCTAAAAATTCGAAAATTTCCTTTTATAAATGTAGTTAATTGTCCAAAATACCCTTTTGATAAAAATTGTGTGATTATATGATACATGCTACCCTATTGTAATATCATAGACCCTCAGATCATGATTGTTAATTCTATTCATCCGATGGTCCAGACCTGTGCATTCTAGCATACAATAGTTACTGGAAACAATATAACCTAACCCGATATATATATATATATATATATATATATATATATATATATATATATATATATATATATATATGGGTTGGTTTAATCTACAAAATTCGTTAGTTTAATCAATATCCGAAATTCCAAAACTAAGGGGTTGTTTATTAAAAAACATTTTGGGCTCTGGCAAGAACAACACACACAACACTTGACATTTCACAATTGTTTGTCTTCTAAAAGACTTCCGACTTATAAAACTGATGCACGTGTGTTGCGCTGTGCATCACTGAACCTATCCCTTCTAACCATTTATCATCTTACTTTAAGTTATATTATTCAATATATAATTTTTTTCAAATACTATGAAGGATATGATAAACAATTCAAATATAATTTAAAAACCCTTTGGTTAGTTTCATATAAATACTTTTTTGTGTTACATTATTTATAACCAAATATTATTAAATTATAGATTTAATCACTAAAATTACCAAGTCTATCGAAGCTAACAAAAGAACTAACCACCACCCTGAAAATTTTAATAAAATGAACATATTGCTCGCTAAATTAATAATTGACAAAACTGCAAAAATGGTCCTTGTAGTATGCATTTTTTTTGAGGTTTAGTCTAAACCTCAAGTTTTTCGGCTTCATGGTCCTTTAGAGGTAGTTTGTTTGTGGTTTTGTCCCTCAGTAAACTGAAATGAATGTAATGCTCTTATGATATATAATATATATATATATATATATATATATATATATATATATATATATATTTGCATTTAATTTAAATGAAAAAGAAAACAAGTAGTTAATTTGGGCCCACAACTCTCCCTTCTCTCCCCCCCTCTCCCTCTCGTACCTACCCGGAGGAACATGTTTGAATATGCATAAATTTTTTTGGGGAACATGATGAACACATTTAACGTACATGATGAACACGGTGAACACAAATTAATTTCTTCTGACAATCGATTGAAAAATCATGTTTTCCAGACACAAAAAATCATCTCTGTAAACACATAAACACAACACACGAAGATCTTTGTTGTCGTGAACAAGTTTCTGGAAACATGCAATATATGGGTCCATAGATGAACACGGTAAACACCAACCTATAAATCGATTTCTGGTTTTTGTTAGGGTCGAAAAAGGTTGATTTCGAGAGCTTCTCCACGGATGAAAGAGGTGAGCACTCACACACACGCGCACACACACACCGAGATCAACACACACCTATAAAAATCTTTTTTGAGAGATTAGGGCTTGAATGTTTTCCAGAAATCATTTTAGATATGAGGGCTTTAGCGTTTTTCAAAAACGATTTCAAAGATGAGAGAGGTATTGAGCTTATTTCATTCTCTCAAAAATCAAATCCCCAAAATGATTCCCATGTTTCAGGTTGGATTTTCACCACGGATTCGTGTTGTGAAATTACCTGAAGCCATTGAAATCCTTTTGTAGAAGACGATGAACAATACTCAATTTTGATTTCTAGATTTTTGGATTTTAAGGGGAAGATGAAGTTCATCAAAGCCAATGATCACCACCGGAGCAAGGAAAGAACGAGTAAGACCACAAATTCACACTAGGCTTTAGATGCAGTGGAGCATGACAACAAAAAAATTTGGATAAAGTATTTAGACCAATATGGGGCTACAATCAGGTGGTTTAGGTTGGAGGTTAGATGCAGTGGAGCATGACAAAAAAAAAATTGGATGAGTATTTAGACCAATTTGGGGCTACAATCAGG